TCTCAAACTTCCGTGGGATATTAATTATTCTTTTTTTTTTCTTAAATATTATGAATCTCATTGTATAAATAGCCGTCGTCGTCATATTGCCGTCCCACATCGTAAGGTCTGTAATATTAAAGAAATAAAATTAAACTTGACCTGACAAATTGAAGTGTTTGTCAATCTCACAAACATGTCACTGTTTAATATTTCAGGTGGAATCTTGCAAGAAAGTTTACGATCATGAAGGATTTAACAATAATAATGATTTTGAATGTGATATTTCACCTCGTGATGTTGGACACAACATTTATATCTTGGCTCATCAAGTATGTATACCATACCTATTCAGTACGAAGTGATTAGAATGTATCATGTGAAAAACCTAAAGTACATATACAACATTATAGCAATTGTAGGACTTGAAGTACTATTTAAAAAACGAGCAGGAGTGTTTTATTAGGTTTAAAGCCACGAGCGCGCAGCGCGAGTGGCTTTAGACCTAATAAAACACGACCCGCGAGTTTTTTAAATGACTTCAAAAACGTATGCATAATAAGTCAAATCTTTATATAAAAATCTTTATATAAAAATCTTTATATAAAAATCTTAATATAAAAATCTTTATATAAAAATCTTTATATAAAAATCTTTATATAAAAATCTTTATATAAAAATCTTTATATAGTTTGCATAACAATGGTCTTTTGTTAAAGTGTTCTTTAGCTGGTATAAAGACGTATGCACATGACTAATTTCTTACTCAAGATTGGGTAATTGCTTCATGAATTATTAATGAGTTTTTGAATAAAATCTAAAGCGGATCAGAAATATTTTAACCAAGGATTTGAACCTATACAAAAGAGTTGAATAAAATGAAACGTTCACATTTTTCGAAACAAAGAGAAGTTCAACCTCGTTCCCAGGCTCTCCCTCCTCTTCACTCCTACCAGGGAGAGCCTGGGGACGGGGTTGAGAGAACTTCTTTTTTTGTTCTTTTTTATTCCTGCGACTCCGGTGCAGCGCTCTAACCAACTCAGCTACAGAATCCATTTGTCGAGCTATAACCACAAGTTCATGTATATATCAGGGTTCGAACACGAGCAAAACGTGAAAGTCCTTGAATGTCCTTGAATTTGAAAACAAAAATTCAAGGCCTTGAATGTCCTAGAATTTGTAAAGAAGTGCTTGAAAGTCCTTGAATTCTTCTTGCTTTAGTTTTTGGATATTTTCTAAAATTATTTGACATTCAAAAACGGACATTTTGTTGAGTTGAATTGATTTTGCATGATCAATGATCATATATCTGACAAAGCTGTTTGAAATTCACTAACGTTGCGTTTTGGACAATTCAACGTGTCATTGTACTGATTTCTAACGCCTTTTCAGTGTTTAGTGCTTGAATTTGCTGATACATGGTCTTGAATGTCCTTGAAAAGTCCTTGAATTTGACTCTCTCTGACATGTACGAACCCTGATATATACTAAGGTGATGCGAATGCAAGGTGTATGGGCAAATATCGGGATTTGGGACATCTTGCTCGATAGAACTGAATGTTTGATTCCTACCAGAAGGCCTATAATTGCATTAAATATTTTTTCGCAGTTGCTCCTTCAACCCTTAGAAACCCTTCAACACTTAGTTCTATCAAGTGAGATGCCCCAAATCCTGATATTTCCAGATATATCCATCTAGTTCTTGGATCAAGGTGCAGTAAGGGACAGACCATTAGAAAAGTGATGGGGAGGGTGGGGAAAAAACAGAAAAAAAATCCATGCAAACAAAAAAGGTTTGAAAAAAAATACATGCAAACAGACTTGTTTAAAAAAAAAATTACAAACAGAACAACAATAGAACTTTAATTTTAAATGTACATCAGACAAAATTGAACTAAATCTTTGGAATATTACGAAATATAAATATGTAATATATTAATATGCAATTTCTTTCAATATTAACAGTAATTCTTATATAGTTTTATTATATACTACCAAAATATTTTCTATTGTCTTTAATAATCCTCATTCATACTGCCACTGTCCTCGATCAGTGGTACGAACTTTATAATGTTGTTTTTTTACCTCCTTTAGCTTTCTCGTCACAATAAAGAATTAGCAGGTCTGCTGAGGCCTCCATCCCCTCCTGAAGGGGATGAGGAGCCCGTTGGCGCTCTGGATTATTACTCGCGACACACAGCACAGATTGAGGTATAATCATTACCCAATAGAAACATTTACTATGGCATAACTGAGCTCCATATATACTCTAATTGAAATTCTGCTGTCCAGTGTGCATTTTTGCTTAATATCATTATTTTACTTTGTTTGAAATATTTATAAGTTACTTAATGTTTGTAAATATATAACAAAATCAAATTTCCTCTGTCAAATTGTCTGATAATTGCCTCTTTAATTGTTTACATATTATACCGCAGTTGCGGCGTAATTTACTTCAAATAAAGCGTACATTCCTAGGCAAAACGTTTCATAAGAATATAGAAGACGCACGTCCAGGTTGTATATATAATGATTCACAACGTTTTCTGACTATGCAGATACTTTTATTACCTTCCACTTAAGCCGGTTTTCCACTAGCGAATTTTCTCGCGACCTTTTTCCTTTGTCGGTATCACTTATTACGTCAGCAAGACGTGGCAAAATGGATGCCGACAAAGGAAAAAGGTTGCTTCGCGCGAAAAAATTCGCTAGTGGAAAACCGGCTTTACTGAAGTACGCGAAAGGTGATAAACAGTTACATGCAGCCCACAAAATCCTCTGCTCGCAGTGTACTGTTCAAGGCTATACATATAATTACATACACAGACCGTAGACGGCTGTAGTATTACATACATGCATTGATGGTCTGATAGCTGAAAGCTCGTAAATAAAAATATCTGCTCAGAGAACGTAGTTATTCAAAACCCTTCATTTAACGGGTCAACTTTGTAAAGATAGTGAATATATTTGATAATACATGAACATTGCGTTGATATATTTCATTTATTTATTCACTTTTTATTTGATCGAAATATCCAATTTCAGATTGTTCGCTCTGATAGAATGATTGAACAAATTGTGTACCCAGTTCCACAGATCTGTGAATACTTGACTGAGCGCAGTAAACATCATGTGTTTAAGACGACTGAACGTGATGAACACGGTAGCAAGGTAAAATTGCTTTTTGTGATATCATTACTGTAATATTCATGCTTAGAACATGATCACATCCACTCGGCCAATCACAACACAGTATTTCAGCGGTCTATATCCGATAGTATATTAATTCGTCAAGTGGTGTGGGCTTTGAAGCGCAGGGAAATTGTGGGGTAAAAGAGGTGTATATAAAAAAACTGAACCCTTTCTAATTCAAATTAGCTATAACGTATTGTACAGGGTGTATGAAAAAAAACGCAACCTCGGAATTTCCCAAGAAATCGACATTGTTTTCAGGACAAAAGATTTTAGGTGCCTGAGAATTTAAAATAGCACAATTGTCAAAATTACTGCATACGCGAGTGCATAAATAAGTTAAATAAAAAGTTTATGCATTTATTTAATGACACTTAATAAGTTTTTATTTTACAAGTACAATACAACAACAGTAATATGATCTTCATATGGGGTGAGGTATTAATTGGGACGTAAGTCCTGTTCCACATTCCAGTCACGTGTGTTGTCTTGTTGCTTGTTATGTATATTATTTATCAGTGTTATTGTAAATCATAATTAATCATACGCGAGTAGCGTGTGGTCGCCTTACACCATTAAGCATCGTTTGCTCATTGAGAATGTTCAACGGCGGGCCACAAAATTAATCTTAATTATCCTGACAACATGTCGTACGTGGACCGGTTGCAGAAAACAAATTTTCTACCACTGGAGGCTGCTCCATTTACTATTCGGAGTACTCCGGATTTTCGGAACACTGATTAAATCGAACCAATAGTGGTCACATGACTGTTCTGACTGCCCCTACTTTTGAGTAGGGGCAGTCAGAACAGTCATGTGACCGTTTCCGGTTCTATTCAATTAGTGTTCCGAAAATCCGGAGTACTCCGAACAGTAGTAAATGGAACAGCCTCAAGGACTTCCGAAGAGGCAACTATAACGAAAATAACTTCCACCTCATTATAAAACATAATCAGGAATACTTTCAAAACTCTTACTTTATCAGATCAGCAAAACTAGCTTTGGAACAGCCTACCAACCGAAATTAAGAAATCCAGTAGTTTATGTTCGTTTAAAACTCGTTTAAATAACTTATACAGGGTGAGTAAAAAAAAAACTGACACCTTTGTTTGAATATCAAAGGTATCAGTTTTTTTATATAATACCTTATTGAATTCTGATCGTTTAATTGGCTGTTTATGGTCACGTGATATTGAATAGAAAATTCAATTTCCCAAGAGTGCAATGGAATACGTTCCATTGCACTCTATGCGAGTGCAATGGAATAAAACGTATAGTACAATTGCACTCTTTGTGTTTTCGATAAATCGCATCCCTCAAAATGCTTCTCATACGAATGTATTAGTCTATTTTGGTGTTATATAAAACAATTAATGAATGTTTTTTCGTGCAATGGTAAGAATATTTTCATTCGATGAAGGATGGAATGTTCCATCTTTCACCTCATGAAAATATTCTTACCATTGCACTCATAAACATTCATTATTTGTATATTGACTCACCCTGTATAGTATCAAGTCAGAATCATACAAACTTCCTAATAATCGTAGCTAATATTTAGTTTTGTGAAGAAAATGGTTGTAATATAGGTACTAAGTATTTAGTTCAGTAACTAGTTCACTCACTAGCTCGGTGTACGAACAACCGTAAATCAGTTAAAATTTATATAATGATCAAGGTCAGACTAGCGTTAAGCTTCGTTTGTTCTCACCCCGAGAAAGTGCCTATGAAGTATGTATAGACATGCAGTATAGTCATATGGGCTGAGGTATTAATTGAGACGTAAGTCCTGTTCCACATTCCAGTCACGTGTGTTGTATTGTAGCATGTTATATATATTGTTTATCAGTGTCATTGTAAATATTTGTGACAAATTTAATAGTAATAATGATAATCTATTAGCAATTCGATTTCAATTCGATTTCAATTCCCAGGGGCCTAAAATCGTTTATGCTTAAGAATTGCAAAGTGGATTTCGTAGGAAATTCCGAGGTTGTTCAGTGGGATTATAGACTTCCTTAAATTAGTTAGACGGCCACTCGGGCCCTCGTGGCTGTCTAACTAATTCTCGGGAGTTTATATCCCACTGAACACACGTGATCATTGTCTATCGTATACTTGGTGTTCTGTTGTTACCCATTTGAGTAAAAAGAGGCAGATGTTGTTCTATGTCAATGTGCTTAGTGGAGACTGGAGACCAAAAAAGTGAGGAATTAATTAAATCAGCCTTATTTGCATGGTTGCACGGGAAGAACAGTTGTATATTTAATATGTAGGGTACCTGGCAGACCTGTAATGTTTCTTGCAAGAAGATTAAATTATCGTAAACAGTTCTACCTGCGGCTCAGATGTTATACCAATCAAGGTTACCTTTGTTTTCAGGTGTCCGACTTTTTCTCCAGAAGTGATGACTTATTTAACGAAATGCAATGGCAAAAGAAGCTTAGAGGTATAGGAAAATATTCGAGTCACGGCCATAAGTGTATGATTAAATTTCGTTTGCGAGATCAAGGATCGTTTACACTTTGAATTTTGGCTGCGATTTAGGTGCGATATTCTTCTGATGGACATACGACTGGATGAGTTACGAATGTTCAGATGAGGGTATATTATTGAACTCTTAGTTCAGAATATCATAACACATCTACTCGTTTCCATGCATCAGAAGAAGAAAATCGCACCAGAAATCGCAGCAAAAATTGCAAGTGTAAACAAGCCTTCAGAAAGCTGGGGTGTGAAGGTAAAACAACTGCCTGAAAATATAAACAGAATTTCGACGTTTCCAGCGAATGCCCTTCGTTGGGAAGTTTGTGAAGTCCTGTTTGAGATGTTAACAAGTGGCCATCTGAAATTCTGGCTACCGACGAGGGGCCTTCGCTTTAAACGTTGAAGTTGTGCTTATATTTTTCAGGTATAGTTGAATATCCTCCACACCATATAGCTTTCTGTTATCGTCTCTACCCATACTACACTGTCACTGACCGTGACAGTAATCAGAATTATTATTAGACAAAAGAAGAAATGGTTTGCAGATTTAAACTAGACAGGAATTTATGTAGTCTGCTGTTCTAACTCTTGAGCTTATGTTAATACATGATTGTTACTGAAGAATATAACGACTATTTCAAAAATTCCAGCTGGAATGTCGGCTGACCAATACGATTTCCCGTTCGGTGTATACTCTGTATAATTCTGTAATAAACACTGTGGTTCAGTAAGAAACGTTGATATTTTTTATCTGGAAGGGAGGAGGCTGGTGCTGGGATTAGAGCGGGGGCGGTAAAAATGGCCAAAAAGGTGAACCACGTAAGAAGTACCCACTTTCAATAATCTCAGTCATAATACAATTTCACATGTAGTGACATACATATTTTGTTTAGAAAATAAGATGTTGTTTTGGGTCAGTAATCAGATGTTGCTATGGGAACGAATATCTATGAATTTAGCTGTTTTGATAAATATCTTGGTAGCCTTGTTTTATCCTTTTTCTGGAACGGTGCGAGGTAGAGTAAAAATCATAGTAAAGTTATAAATAGTGTCTTTTGCAAGCAAAGTTGTTCAAGTAAGGACAGTACCATTAATAATAGATGAAGAGAATGCGAGAACTAAAAAACTGAATTTTGGTGCAATTCTCTTGATTTGGGCTTGCGGGCTTTTATTGCAGAAATAGACAATCACATTATTTTACATTCTACCGTGCATTGTAGGATTATTTCACGATTCATTTTATTTTTATTTTTTTTGTTAATTTTTTTTACAAAATCCAGGGTTAAAGAAATACTTTACTTTCTGAGACCGCGTGAGGTTTATTGAAAAATGTTCTGTAAATAATCAAGTAAATCGACACTTGGACACTGTGACTGTGTAACACTATATAACAATTAAGTTCTCAAACTGAATGTCATGCTATATTCTAATAGAAAAAGAATGATTTCAGGGGGGGGGGGCACTACTGAATTTCTCCTTTTATCTAAATTTTCACAATTATCTTTTTTTCTTTCTTGGATAAATATTTTCTGGGAACTCAAAAAAATTTCTGGGATCGACCAATATGCAATGGTCCGACACTTTTCCACCCCTGCAAAAAGGTGAAAATGCTGTATTAGAAAGGTTCCACAGAGAGAAGATGAGCATCCGGTGCATTTAATTCTGCCAATCTCTTCATTCTCAGTCGTTTTCCCAAGGATATTGTTTACATTCTTCACTTAAATAAAGTCGCAAACCAAACCAAACCAAAATCATAGGTATCTTACAAAAAGCTGCGGTGTAACTCTTTGGCTTGCTTACTGATTTTTTACATAGCATACATACATGGCCATGCATCAGTCACATTTCGTTCCAATTGTCATGGTTTGGAAGAAACATTTCGCCATTTGATGCCTTTTCACCTTTTAAATTATTTAATATTTGTTTTTAGTAATTGATTACCGCCTTTCGTTATTGGTGTGGATCGCTATGTTCATCTCATTTGCACTTATTGTTATTTTTCCTCGTCCTTCTGGTGTCCGAACATTTATGTTTGCTGTCATTGTTCGTTTATTTTTCTCAATTGGATTGGAATTCACTCTTCTGCTGCTAGGAATCGTAAATGTAAGTTTCATGTTTATAGTATATTGAACTAAAGGTACAATAAATCAGTCTTCAATGTCATTGTTTTCATCACTACTATGTCTTTATTTTCATCATTTTGTCTTTATTTTTCAGTTGCTCGCTAAAGGAGTATTTCTTGTTGGTTTCATTGGCAATAAAGGAACGTTTCAATACGGAGCAGCAAGAATACTAACAGATAAAGATCTTCTTTTTCATCTTTGTTATTTTGGATTTTGTGTTGTAGGACTTTGTATTAATGAACTGTTTTATAGCGTATTGGTAAGTGAATATATGTATAAAACAGTAAAAACACATTCGTTGAATATTTCCACTTGCATTTATCTTATACCACAACACGGCCAACTTTTAGTCATGTATGAATTTTCTCATAACTTTCAACATAATCATGATAATTGTAACTGAAACTGCCTTTTTGTAGGCATTTCCAAACTGTGCATACTTATAGGCATGTTAAACACCTGAATGCCCAATAAGCCCCCGTTTTGGTTACTATTGAGGATTTACAGTAATCTGATTTATTTCTGTCTTCTAGTTGTTAGACATTGTACTTCGTGAAGAAACATTAATCAACGTTGTTCGCAGTGTTACAAGGAATGGACGATCTATTATACTTACAGCATTGCTCGCACTTATTCTTGTTTATTTATTCTCTATCGTTGGCTTTCTCTTCCTGAAAGATGATTTCTTAGTTGACGCTGAACCACGGTTGCCACGAATTGTTGACTCAGGTAACGTCACGCACGAAAACCTGTTTCGTACTGGTAGATGCGAGATCCAGTAGTAGATTCTTGGGATATTTACCCTCCCTCTTTAAGGTCTCTTTTCTTCTTCACTCTTTGATAATAAGCTGCGTTGCTTTTGTACATGATGAAAAAGATAAACATTCTGACCATAACCACAGCAATCTTGTGCATATATAATATAGAAGAAAGCTTTGGATTCATAGAGATACATGCAACTACCTGAAAAGTACAAGGAGAACTTCGATGATACACGGACACAAACCATTCCAGATCATGGTATAACCTACACTACAGGCCTCCGCGTTCCTTGAGTCTTTTTGGATTCCCCTTGTAGTATCTTTTTGCCTTTCTGTGTTTTATGCTAGTCATTAAGGTTCAACCTCAATGCGAAGTTCATTTCATAGATGTTCAACAGACCAACATGGGCAATATGCTATAAATAGAATATTATTTCAAAGCCTATATAAGGCTGATTTAGATTACATCACTTTTGCCTAAAACTGTCGCATGCAACCTGCTTACAACTTGTGTTGCGCTTACATTGTCGTATAGGTGAATTGTATGCTTGATTTACACAGTACAACTCAAGTTGTAAGCAGGTTGCATGCGACAGTTTTAGGCAAACGATGTGTAATCTAAATCAGCCTAAGTATAAGTGTATCGTGTCGGTATACATAATATAAATGGATTATATACATCGCCAGAAGTATAAATTCTCATTCATTATCGCATTTACATCTTAATTACAAGCTGTAAAATAAAATCTTTGATAGGATTTTAGCACAGGTTGAACTGCATCGATATCAATGTAATTTTTTTTATATATTTACCTATGTTTAGGTGGACCAAGCGATGACAAGGGTGTTTGTCCAGTTTCAACGTCTTGGGAAAATCGTTATTTCCCAGTCCAGGATAATGACAATGATGTCGCAGAGTCGGTGAAAGAACATGCATGTGAAACATTAGCGCTTTGTATTCTTACAACACTCAATAAAGGACTACGTAATGGTGGAGGTATTGGTGATGTGTTACGTCCACCCTCACTCAGGGTATGCATACATGCAATGCTTATACATTTAGGGTTTTGAGCAAATATAATTCTCTATTATTTTTATTCTATAGTTTGTAAATATCCTCGGCTGTTATAACATTTGTTACTGATTTAAACTGCTTCACGTAGCAAAATATCAAACAATCCTTTCTAATAAATGATTGAATGTCATTTTTTCTATATTGTCATGTTTTCATGCACTTGACTGGTGAACCTTTTTGATTGAAAAGCAGTCTTGAAATTCCTGGTTAAACTTCCTGATTAACCTAGAAATAACCTTATTTGGGTTAATTTAACATTGTCGGTTAATTTAACCTTTTTCCTGGCTATATTTTAGCCTATTGTCCAGTGGATTTTGTGTGCCTAAATTATTTTTAGGCACACAAAATCCACTATACAGTTATTATGTGCCTTAAATGGATAAATAACTAGGGGACCTGGCTGTTTATTCACCCTGGTTAATTTAACGAGGACGTCTTGGTCAAATTGATTAAACAGTAGGTTAAAATAAGCAGCCAAATTAACCAGGAATATTAAGTTAAACCAAATAGGGTTATTTCTGGGTTAGCGAGGACATTTTAACCGGAGTGTTTTGGAGTGAATATTGAAACGATTCCACCTTTTCACTTAGACTGAAAGGAGGGAAATTTTCAATATGGACAGGTGTACCTTGTTCCAGTCTTACGATATTTTTCGAATCCTGAGTTCTTATTTACCATTATTTTATACTATTCTAAATACACTCTTAGGAGCCGATGTTCGTTGGTCGTGTTGTTTATGACATGTTGTTTTTCTTCATCGTTATCATCATCGTTCTTAATCTTATATTTGGCGTTATTATTGATACGTTTGCTGACCTCAGAAGTGAAAAACAGAATAAGGAAGAAATATTAAAAAACACCTGTTTTATATGTGGTGAGTATTCAATGGTTGTGAACACAGTCGATCAAAATATTTTCTGGAAATTTGGCCTAAGTCTGTCTTCCTGTTTGTGTTTATGCAAACTGTGCACAATGGAGACATGTAATTTTTGGTATAATGAAGCATGATATAATTATATCATTTTGGTATATTGAAGCATTATAATGAAACATATAATGAAGCAATTTCATTTGTGTATTATGCTGATAAAAAGAAAAGAGAGTATTATTTCGATTTTGAAAATCCAACGTTTGTTGATATGTCTCAGTGGGCTATTGATATTTAAGTCCAGCCAATCAGAATCCATTAAGTTCACTCGTGACCAATCAGAATCAACCACCCAGATCTGGTTAGCGCTGCTGGGGGTCGACAAGCAATGCCACGAATTTTGACAGGCTGTATTACAGTATAATATTCCCGCCTGCGTTCCTTCGCCCGGCGGCTTCGCTCGTGTTCCACGATCCGCCATGTAAAGTGTAGTGAAATGTATCTCAATACTAATCGTAATCGAAGCCAACTGAAGCCTCTGCGGAGGAGAGAGGCATAATATAGTCTCTATACAGGCTACGGTGAAATTGCTTTGAAGTTTGCCGAGTCTCCAGACCATATCTCGATTGACTGTACACGTGTTGTGAATCTATCATGGCAATGATGATGTTATGCAGATACCCCCAAACAGCAGTGCAAAAAGTAGTAACAAGTAACAATAATTTAAAACCCTGTAACAAGTGTGGAACGCACGGAATAAATAGCGCAACAGTTACTCAATTTTTAATATTTCTTGTAGGTTTGGGCCGTGCAGAGTTTGTGAACAAAGTTGTTTCTTTCGATGACCATATAAAAACAGAACATAATTTATGGCATTATCTTTACTTCATTGTTTTATTGAGATTAAAGAAACGAACAGATTTCACTGGTCCGCAAAGTTACGTTCATGAATTGATCAAGGTAAATATCTACACGAACGAACTCAATTGGATGTTTTTGAAATTCGGTCTTGTCACTTCTAGTCTAAAAGTGAATTGTAATGTATGTTTTTCTTACAGTTTAATTAGAGTAATCTGTTTCGAATATTTCTTCCATAGCAACGAAACTTAGAGTGGTTTCCTCGAATGAGAACCTTGTCTTTAGCAGTGGACGCTGACGGAGAATCAGAACAAAATGATGTAAAAATCTTACACGAAAAATTGGATAATACAACGAAACAAGTGCAGGCACTTTCAACACAACTAAAGGAATTACGTGAACAGGTACAAAATACGTCTGTTGAATTTCACTGAGGGCCGAGAGAACGCAGAGTGGCAGTGGGATGGGCAGTAATATTCTGTTTATTTATTCTATACTTATTATTGTGCAGAATATTGTTTAGATAAATAAAAAAACAGTAGTAATAGAAATAAAAAGCGCTAGTGAGCAATGTCTACAGGGAGCATATTTGACAACTTAGCGCCATCATAATTAAAAGTTAGAGAAATTCTGGAAGGGAATGAAGAAGTGGAAGAAAAGAGAAGGTACTTAAGGAAAGGAAAAAGAAGAGCAGGGGATTAATGCGCTCGAGAGGAATGACTTGGGGAATAAAGTAAAGAACAGATTGAGGGACAAGTGATCATATAAGGATGGGAAGGATGTCATGAAGAGGGAGAAACGGCGGGAGGGGGGGGGGATTAAAAATTAATTTAATGGTGAAGAGGATGTGATCGAGGAGAAAATGATGGACAAAAAATGGAGGTGAAAAGTACACGAAGGAGACGTAAGCATAGATGGAGAGGGAAGATGGTAGAATAGAACAGGGTGAATGAGCAGGATATGGAAAAGTAGGAGAAAAACGAAAAAATGGTGGGGATAATAAACAGAAAATAGAGAAGGACACGAATCACGAGAGATCAAAGAGAAGTACAGGAACAAGAGATTAAAAAGGGGGAAGACGATTGTGTAGAAACATGTTGGGAAGAAAGACATGGGGAAAGAGAGGCAGGAGAAGGCGATCGACCAGATATGAAAGAGAAATAATTAAAGAGAGGGAGAGGAGGATAAACAGGAAGATGGAAAAGGAGCAGGAGAAAGAGAACTGATAAATATAAGAAGGATACAGAATGAAGGAGGTAAAAGAGAGAATAAATAGAGTATGAAAAGAGAGGTCAAGAAGGGAGATGATGGTGTAGAAACATGGTAAGGAGAAAAGCCATGGGGGTTATAATTTCATGCAATTGAAATAAAAAGAAACAACATTGACTAAAGTCTGACGATAAAGTTACGGTTCAGGGTTGATGTCGTTTCTTTCATTTGCGTATTTGTGTATTGGACATGAAATTATAACCGACATGGATATATAGGCAGTAGAGATTTGAGGAAGGACACGCAGGGGAGAGAAAATTAATGGATAAAGTGAAAGAAAGAAATAGATGGTTGAAACTTAGATATATGAACTAGAATTTGAATACATCCTTTCGAAATTACGTCACAAGTATCTCCTTGGCCTGGAAGTCACATTCTCGTCAAACGTGAGCGAAGAGAGCGAGGCTCCCAGGCAAGAATCCGTGACGTAATAATCGAAAGGGTGTATTTTAATGGTAAACGATTGACTGTTTTTATATTTGCTTTAGATGTCAGAACAACGTAAATACAAACAACGCCACACTCTTCTTGCTCCACAGACGTCACTGAATTGTACTTTGAATGGCATGATACCTCGCACGTAGCAGTTTCTACATTAGCATAATTCACAATAATGGACTAAGTTTCACCGATCACTATACCTAATTCATAATGAACTAGCTTTCATAGTTTCACAAGGGTTTCACTGAGCACTATACGTGCAACATGTATTGTAAAGCTAGCTGAGGGGAATTGGTTGTTGGCATTCCGCATTTCCAAATTTTACAATACTTCCAATAATTTATACTGCATATAGAATTCCTATAAACCACAGTCTATCAAGATATGATGGTCGGGAAACTAAAGGGAAATCATTGTATTATGTTTTTGTCTGAGTTCATGTTATTTTGTGCATGGTCACGGTGATTGACCTCATTGTATTTTCGTTTAATGAAGTATAGTGAATAATATTTAATGAAGTTGAGACAAAGGATTTGTGCACGGTGACGTACAGTTCAACTTCAGACAAAATGTCTTCTATTTTGTAGCTTTGAAGTTTGCCGAGATTCCAGACCATCATATCTTGACAGACTATGTATAAACTTGGCGCATAGCTGCTTCATAGAAACAATACAAGAAGATTCTTATAAGCTAAAATTCAATCTAAGCACGGGTTTAATAATTGCGGTGAGCCACAGATCATCTTATGTAATTGTAATTCTGTGCAAAATATACAGCTAATTCAAAAAAGGTTGTCTTTCGAGACTCTAAACCTCAGTACAATATCTTGGCTGTATGCTTGCGGAATTTTGACATATAACTCCTGTAATTAAATGACAAACACCGTGTTCCCATTGAGAGTTTTTAAAGATCACCAAGGAAAACCTTTTTTGAATTAGCTGTAAATAGGATGTAATTAAGTACAATAAATTCTATCTTTTTAAACCAGTGTGAACTGATACATAAGGCGGATACAAATGAATAGGTATGCAGCGCATGGTTATATCCGCATGTTTCGCGCACAAATAGGGTTAGAGAAGGGGCTAGGATTGGGTCAAGATATAATAGACGAGAAATATATGCCATATATTCGTGCGCGAAAGATGAGTATATTACCTAGGACAACCTCGTACCCAGACTCTTTCCACTGCGCGTCTCCTGCGAGGCGCGTATAGGTTGGCATGCAGTGATGTAAGTACTCGTTACTAAAGTAACGCATTACTAATTACTTTTTGGGTAATTTTTTGTTAATTAATTACTTTTTGCAGGAAAGTAATTTGTAACGTAATCAATTACTTTTTGAAGGTAACGAGTAACATTTTAAAAAAGTAATTTGCGTTACTTTTGGGCACTTTTATTATTTTCAAAAAAAAACAATGATCACGATGACTTTTATTATTGATGCCACCGTTAAAATGGACAATGTACTGCACCTTTGAAGCAAATGGCTTTGAAGCTGAACACCGTACTGCCTGCAAGTGCAGCTGTTGGACGTCTTTTCAGCTGTGAAGGCTTGATCATGCGCCCGCACAGAAATCAGTTAACTGATGACCATTTTGAGTCGGCACCAGCCTAGTCCCAGTCGTTCTGAAGCAAGCGCGAGAAAAAAGTGGATGTAGTACGAGACTGGGACCTAGGTGTGACGTCACCGCTCAAGGTGCTTCAGAACGCCTAGCAGATTTCAGTATTTTTAATATGGCGGAAAATTTATATATACAAGTAACCTTTTAATTATAAATACGACAATGCTCGTTCATCATGTACATGTTCGATGTCTACATAACCAAATCAAACCGTATTAAAAATGTGCTCAACTAAAAGAAATTATATACAAATTTACGATACCGAGTTTGAGCAATTGTTGATGTTAATTATATACTCGCAAGTTGTGATCAACACTAGACCATACTGGTATACACAACTACGCTTTCTACTTGACAGGTTTAAATTGCTGAGGAGATTGGAAATATTTGCCTGACATGACGGTGTTGTCAAAACATTCTTAGTCGGAGACTCGGCATAATTTTCAAGCTTCTAGATAGCATTTAATATGGCTATATATTTTAGTAAACACGAGTCATTTTAAGCCCGTTATTCCATTCTGACCGTATGGCAGCGAAACGTAGCCTACTTCATTGTTCCGACAGCATTAAAGCAAAACTAATGACTTAATTATAAATGCAAAGGAATTTCCATAACATTTTCCATTTACAAATGAGGTATGCTTGGTAACCAGGCCAGGGACCACTTTTTTGAAATCAGGGACCATTTTACCGAAATCTGCTAGGCTCTCTCGCTGAAGCGTTCCGCACAGCACACCCAGGCATAAAACTTTTAAGACTTATTTAAATATATCAAAGCAGCGAATAGAGAAAGAGCCTGGGACTAGGCTGAGTCGGCACTACTTTTAAAGCTGAACTCCAAATTTAATACTGTTGCATAAGTCTTAACTCTTAACTTTGGAACTGCCTTTTGAATTAACTTTTTATTGTTGTTTAAGTCCATGAGAACTTGAAAGTAATTTCAAGGTAATTAGTAATTAATTACTTTTGAAAAAGTAATTAGTAATCGGTAATTAATTACATTTGAAAGACAGTAATAAGTAATTAGTAATAATTACTTTTTTGGAGAAGTAATTGTAATTTTACTCGTTACTTTTTTTTGGTAATTTTCACATCACTGTTGGCATGACAATCGTCTACGGTGTCCACCCGTAGTAATAGTTTCCTTTCCTATTGCTTGAAATAGTTTTTGTAGTGTGGAAATGGATGATTCCAGCTATTGACTAATATTTTATCTAGACAAGAAAGACGAAATCTATCATTATAGCTCAAAAGAGCATCCTAAAATTAGTAAAATACAAAGTTTGGTTGCGAAATATTCTAAAATACGAAAAATATGGCCCTGCGAAACAGCAAATTTTGAGTATTGTAGTATTACGCGTGGGAAAATGCACTACTTTTGATTCAAGAAAGACGAAGTCTATTATAGCTCAAAAGAGCATCCTAAAATTAGTAAAATACAAAGTTTGGTTGCGAAATATTCTAAAATACGAAAAATATGGCCCTGTGAAACAGTAAATTTTGAGTATTGTAGTATTACGCGTGGGAAAATGCACTACTTTCGATTCAAGAAAGACGAAGTCTATTATAGCTCAAAAGAGCATCCTAAAATTAGTAAAATACAAAGTTTGGTTGCGAAATATTCTAAAATACGAAAAATATGGCCCTGTGAAACAGTTAGCAAATTTTGAGTGTTGTAGTATTACGCGTGGGAAAATGCACTACTTTCGATTCAAGAAAGACGAAGTCTATTATAGCTCAAAAGAGCATCCTAAAATTAGTAAAATACAAAGTTTGGTTGCGAAATATTCTAAAATACGAAAAATATGGCCCTGTGAAACAGCAAATTTTGAGTATTGTAGTATTACGCGTGGGAAAATGCACTACTTTCGATTCAAGAAAGACGAAGTCTATCATAGCTCAAAAGAGCATCCTAAAATTAGTAAAATACAAAGTTTGGTTGCGAAATATTCTAAAATACGAAAAATATGGCCCTGTGAAACAGCAAATTTTGAGTATTGTAGTATTACGCGTGGGAAAATGCACTACTTTCGATTCAAGAAAGACGAAGACTATTATAGCTCAAAAGAGCATCCTAAAATTAGTAAAATACAAAGTTTGGTTGCGAAATATTCTAAAATACGAAAAATATGGCCCTGGGAAACAGCAAATTTTGAGTATTGTAGTATTACGCGTGGGAAAATGCACTACTTTCGATTCAAGAAAGACGAAGTCTATTATAGCTCAAAAGAGCATCCTAAAATTAGTAAAATACAAAGTTTGGTTGCGAAATATTCTAAAATACGAAAAATATGGCCCTGCGAAACAGTTAGCAAATTTTGAGTATTGTAGTATTACGCGTGGGAAAATGCACTACTTTCGATTCAAGAAAGACGAAGTCTATTATAGCTCAAAAGAGCATCCTAAAATTAGTAAAATACAAAGGTTGGTTGCGAAATATTCTAAAATACGAAAAATATGGCCCTGTGAAACAGTTAGCAAATTTTGAGTATTGTAGTATTACGCGTGGGAAAATGCACTACTTTCGATTCAAGAAAGACGAAGTCTATTATAGCTCAAAAGAGCATCCTAAAATTAGTAAAATACAAAGTTTGGTTGCGAAATATTCTAAAATACGAAAAATATGGCCCTGTGAAACAGTTAGCAAATTTTGAGTATTGTAGTATTACGCGTGGGAAAATGCACTACTTTCGATTCAAGAAAGACGAAGTCTATTATAGCTCAAAAGAGCATCCTAAAATTAGTAAAATTAAATTAGTAAAATTCCAAAGTTTGGTCGCGAAATGTTGTAAATACGAAAAATATAGCCCTGTGAAATTAGCGAATTTTGAGTATTTTAGTGTTACGCGCGGAAAAATGCACCACTTTCGGCTCAAAAGTGGTGCATTTTTCCTCGCGTTACACTATTAAAAATACTCAAAATTTCTTGTCTCCATTGAACATTACCTATTGAGCAGCTGCTCTCGAATGATTACAGTGGATTACAATATGGTCACCAACGGGACATAAAAGTTTGGCCTTATTATTATGATTAACATTTCTATAGCGCAATTTACATGTGGATATAATCACTTGCGCTTTACATCAAGTATTACTCTTACCTAATTCTCCGCACAGTCAATTATATGCTGATGATATACACGGCAAAAAACGCCGAGCCCGCTGCTCAACAGGATTGAACAATGCATATGTTTTGCTGCCCACGTTATTCACACTTGTCAACAATATTGAACAATATTGTTGAGCCTGAATCGGGTGTAACAATATTGTTCAATATTGTTGACAGCTATGAACAATGTGGGCAGCAAAACATTGTTCAATCCTGTTTTCATCAGTATTGCATCAACCTG